TTTCTATTCATGGAAGAAAAAGAAAACATCTATGATATGACATTTTACTTTCAAAAGGGAAAGAAAAAAATATTCAGCTAAGTCAAAATGGAGCACTTCTACTGTTACAAAGTTCATCAATTGGGGTGTAAACAAGTCAAGTTGAGTTCGTGTCACCATCGGCTTGAGCTTGATTAATTTATCGAGCTCGAGGATGAGCTTACTTTTACAAGTTGGAGTCTGCTCACGAGCCAGCTTGTTTAATATTAAAAAGAGAAAATAATATAAATTCAAATTAGTGTTATAACAAAATAACAAATAGAATGAGTAATTAAGAGAAAAATAATACAAAACCACTCAATATAAAATACAAAATATCATTTTGTTAATATTTTAATAATTTATAGATTAAATTTTAAATTTTAATATACTTTGAGCATATTTTATATCAATTAGTCTTTAAAAAAGACTGCACACAAGCTAACGAATCAAGTTGGGGCTAGCTTGTGCTTGGCTTGTAAGCTCATCAAGCTCATTCACAAGCCACTTATCGAGCGAGCCCGAGTCAAATCACGAGTCAGCTTGGCTCACACTCACATCATCATCACAGAAAAATATTTGATCAATAACCAATAAATATGCAAACATAATTGTGGTTATATGAGAATAAACTCAGCAGTACTTTAATGTGCTCCAAAAGACTTCAAAGTTCTTCCCCTACAGCTTATGCATAATTCATGCCTTCAGACAATTCAATTATTAAAAGATTATTCTTTAGGGTCATTTACATACATAGCACACAATTCTTATGTATTTACATATCTCATGCTTAAAATTTGATACTTACACATGTAGTACTTAAAATCCACACAATTCTTATGTATTTACATATCTCATGCTTATTTGATACTTACACATGTAGTACTTAAAATCTTTGATATCACACTAAAAACAGCACTATTATCACTTTTTAAAAGTGGAATACACTTTTTCATGCATAGGTTTAAAGCACCAAAGTGCTATGAATGTAAATATGAATGTTTAGGTGTGATATATGTGAACACATAAAAATTGTATGCCATGTATATAAAAATAAACAGAAGTAAAGAACAAACCATCATCCTCATCTTCCTCTGCCCATCTATCCCAGTCAACTTTAATGTAGTGAGGTAGCTTTCCATCACCACGCAATAGCTTCTTCCACCACCCTTTCTCAGCTTTTTCTATAACACAGAAGATGCTCCTAACGCCAGTGTTTAGTTTGCTTGCCTACAGAAAAAACGAATTTTGGTCGAAAAAACAAGATGCATTTGAAAGTGTCGATGATAGTGTCCGTGCATGACATTAACCTTACCTCAACGTTTACTTTATCAAATAGCTCCAATTTGACCTCATACAAGATATTGTCTGAACCAGTGATGCCAGAGAAAGTGAAAACACCATCTGGATCAAGATTAATCTGAACATTCTTTGCATCAGCTAAGAGAATAGTAAGGTAGATCTTGTCGGACCTTTGTGCCCACTTGACTTCGGGATGACGACTACAAAAATAGGATACGTGATATTAAATTAAAAGAGAAAACATCCAGCGGATATTTCTGAGCATTTTATTTATGCCAAGCTGAATAAAATATGATAATAATAAAGCAATAAAAAAAATTTTAACTGATGGCATTTGCGAGAAAATGCATGCTCTAGAA